GGATGTCTTCACGGCGCGGAGGGATCTGGTGTCGCGCCGCGGAGGTGTTGTCGCGCCGCGCCGCGGAGTGTTGTCGTGCCGCGGCGCGCGGGGCTGCTGGTTGGGCTACGCGTTTCGGGCTCGTTTGGGCTTGTCCGAACTCGGAATTGAGTTCCGTTTTTTCCTATGCGTTGCCAATGAAGTCTTCTACGCAATGGTGCTTACAAATCCAATTTTTTCTTGAAAACCTATTCTCCCAAAGCTTTTGACTTGAATTTGGCGGCTTCCGTGCGCGACTTCACTTCTCGGGCTCGTTTGGGTTCGTTTGGGCTCGGAATTTGATTCCGCTTTTTCCTGTGTGTTCCCAACGAACTCCTCTATCTACTTATGCTTGTCCAACTGACTTTTGCCCAAAATTCGATCTTTCCGAAGCTTTCGACCTACACACCATAAACAAAGAAAAACCGAAAGAAACATACGGAAAACACATAGAAAACCAAAATAGAGATAAACACACAATAAACTATAAAAACGAATAAAAACCAACGAAAAGACCTAAGACGGGGGAAAAAGAAAGATAAAATCAGTACGAAAAATGCAACAAAAATGGGACAAACACGTCACAATAGACCTACTGACTCTTTGACTCTTAACTTCTTCGATCTTGCCGACCTACAGGTTCATCCGATCCAGTTGGATGGAATCTTGGGTCAAATCGACCTGGTATGGTATCCCATATCATCTGTTACCCCTCACTCTCGTCGAGTTATGATAACTCGCCTTTTGATGATGTGACAAGTTGGACGATCGCTTTAACAATTTTGCTTTGTCAGTTTTTGTTTACATTGTAGAGAGATTGAAGATCTTCATATAGAACGAATAGAAACATATCGACGTCTGAATTTGAATGTGGATCGTTGCAACACTGGTAGTATGAGTTCATGGGCTATTCCTTAAGCCCATTTGCGGGCATGCCTAATTTTTGTCGATGCATTTCCAGACGTAGTGGACCAACTCAAAAATTATTAATGTAATTATATAAATAAATTTAAAATAAAATATTATTTATATTATATAAATAAATTTTAAATAAAATATTGTTTATAAATTTTTACAAAATATACCCACATCTAATTCTACATAAATTTTCGTATTTATCATATCTCATTATAATTAGAAGAACAAAAATAATATCATATATATACTTCATCAATAAAAACTAATTTGTAAAAAAGGAATAACACAGTTCAGTGACATTGAGAAAGATAGCAACTTGTTTGTTTACATATTTTAATTAATCAATAATTCCATAGTGATCCTAAAGGTTTTTGGTCATTATGAATTAGAATTTTTTTTTATAATAATAATAAAAAAAACTTTAATTTAGCGATTTCTAAAAAATAAATTTCTTTTATAAAAAAGATATTTTTTTAGTTTGCATCCTAAGGCTTTCTAGTATGTAGCATACCATGAAATGGTAATATATTCAACAATAATCTCTTTATGGAAGAAAACTAAAATAAAAGATAAAAAAGAAATTAATAATGATTGACAAGAGTATACAAATAATCACATGTTGAAATAATAAAAAAGTTAATATATTTTAATTTATCATCTGACCATTAATAAAACTATTTAATGTATTTGATCATTATCTCGTAAGTGGTAAATTATTTTACTTTGAAGATTTGTTTATTTTTTATATAACTAAACAAAACTTAAGAAATATATTGGCAAAGATTAATTCATCAACTTGATTTCACTTGATTAATTGGAAGGAAAATATATATTTTTTTTTTTTTCCGAAACGATAGGGATATTATAAATAAAAAAACGCACAACTATGCAAAAGCAGCCCGTGGCTGAATATTACAACCAGAAACTAGAAAATGGGAGGACGGATCGAAACCGCCTAGAACCTCGCTAGCCACACTAGAAAAGAAACAAATAACACACAACTAAAAAGAAAACACCAACACACCAACTACGAACGCTCCCCACAGGAGAATAGAAACGCCCCCCACAGGGGAATCAGTACCCAGTACCGGGACCAAACGGCCCAAACCTAAAAAACAAGACCAAAAATAAACAACACGCAAAAACCACTAAGCTACCAACAAAACAAAAACAAACAAATTAAACGAGCCCTTCCAAAGGGGCAACACCTAGCCGAACCAGCGGAACCAAGTCAGCCGTGAATCCCACAGCCAGAGACTACAACCCCGAAACTGCCAAAACCACTCGGTTGCATAACGGTGTCGAGACCCTAGCCCCGGAACAACACCAGCTAACCCGCACCACGGCCACAACACCAAATTGCCCGGAAACGGCAAGAAAGTGCTACGGCCCCAGCCCTAACCCCAAATCGCCTGGAGACTGCCTGAGACCACCGCACTGCCGCAGCACCACCCCGACCAACACCACTGGCAGATGAATGGATGCGACGGCCCCTCCGACCCAAAATCCGAGTATAGAGGGTAGACGGCTTCAAGCAGAATGCGACCCCAATCGCCCGACCCCCAAGTTCGCCAACCAATCGAGCCGCATCCCGCCCCAAGAATCGCACGACGGCTCCACCACCGCACCACAGAGAAGCCACCAAGCGGAATTGACAAAACTAAAAGGAAAAAAAAAACCCTCTGAAGACAAAACCCTCGCCCCGAAAACTCTCGCCGTCGCCTTCTCCGATCTGAAGTCCTCTGCCTTCCTTAGTGGCAATAGCGCTTCGCCGGCGGTCACTGACCTTGGATGCTTGGCTCCCGCCCCTAATTTTCCGCTCCGGCTTCCGCATCCATGGAGTCGGGCCTCGTCGGTCGCGGAAGGAAAATATTTACCCAACATGTTACGATTTTTCTATAAATATTTTGGGATGAAAAGTGTGAAAAATAATTGATATTATGAATAGGACTTAACATTTTCCTTCATGTGAAGATTAATATTTGTTTTATAAATTTATTTTCTTTGACTCTTTTGATTTTCTTTTTTTTTTTTAGTGGGTTGTATTCTTACGATACAGATGCATATTAGAGCCCAGGTTGTGCATATGATTCATATTATGGAAGAAGTGAAGAAACAAGAGGCTTGTGGTACAATGATCGTGAGGCTAGATTGCCAGCTATGGTTCGAAGAGCCGTTGAAAGTGTTCTTCAAGTTGTGAGGATACCATATCATCTTTGACATACCACACATCACATTGCCGATGATTTTCCATTTTTGTTCAAGAGGTATGGTGCACCTAGAGCCGTTGAGAGATATTGGTATCGACAAGATGAATGGGCGTAATCAAAGTTTGATGGGAACCATTATGATTGGGGAAATCGTAGAAATTCATTCTTTGAAAATCCACAATATTATCGGTCGTTTGAGCTTTCTTATGAGCACAATGTATCTCAACTTCAATATGAAGGTTCATAATATTATTCAAAACCGTCACTAGAACAAGAGGATAGTTCATTGTTGGTGAAGATCTTCGAAGAGTTTCAAAATGATTGGATGACTAGTAGCAGAAATATTTATGACATATTGAGCGATATTGATGCTCGAGTCAAGAGTCGACTATCATGTCAAGCCGACACAACTGAAGTGATGTTGTAGACGTTGGTCTGAGCACCGCGATGAAGTTTGATGTGCTGAAAAATTATTTTTTTAAGCTGAATGATGATCCAAACGACGAAGATGATGAAGAAGAAGGAAATACAAAGAACATTTCTGCAGCTATTTGCCCGTCGAATAACATTTTGGCAGGGTTTTTTGCTGCTATTGGGGGTCCCAATAACACTGCAGCTGAAAGTGAAAGTGATTCAAAACATCTATTAGATACCCCGAGCATGGTCGAAACTTCATTCCTTATGTCTGAGGTCAAGAAAGTAGTAGCCGAGCATGCTAAAAAGCAGGATCCTTATATCCTTGAGGTGATTTAAATTTCCTCTAATCCATGAGTTCGGGCTAATCGTTGGCTATGATGATTTGTCACCGAGACAAAAAGATCGGTCCATCACTCGACACCAGACAAGGGGTTTGACAAGCATGGAATTCCAAGGTTCGTGCCTCCATCATGGCCAAGTCTGATGCCGCCATGGACCGTTTGAAGAAAGTTGAGCAATAAGTCGAGTCAACGACGATAAAAAGAGGCGCTTGTTGGGAGGCAACCAATGGTGTGCGATGTTCGACTGCTACTTCTTCTCTTCTATAAGGTGCACAGTTTTTTAACACTCTATTTTGTTCTCTTATGTGCAAACTCTATGTTTGGAGAGGCACAGAACAATTACCCTTTTCAATTGTTCTGCTCTACTTATTTTGCAATTTGGTACAATAATTTTTATTTTGAGTTAGGGAAAATTTTCAAAAAAGATATACCAAGTTGGGTGTTTTACTTAAATGAGACATTATGTTGTCCTTAACAGAAAAGATACATTTAGTTGGTAATTTGTCTCAAAAATTAAAGATGCATTAGTCATCCCATCTAGATAAAATTTTAACGTGGACGGATAATTTAATGACGTGGCACTTAACATTTTCTTAATTTTCTACATGATATTTTCCTGTCTTGATGTGGAATCCTCATTGCCAAGTAGACACCTACACCAGGATAAGAATATATATATATATATATATATATATATATATAAACAAATTTCTCTTCTGCTACATCCGCTGTCTGCTGCCGGCGTTGGTCGTTGGCCAACTACCTCTGGTCGTAAATTTCTTTACATCATCCTGAAGTTCTTCTCGTACTTGTTCACCTCCTAAAATTTCTTGTGAAAATTACATCGTTAAGGCCATGAATTGTGCCGATCAAAGTTTTTAGATTTCGAATTCCGTTCAAAATTCAGTATTCGTCTTCAATTTTCCGGTGATTCACAGAGACCCACTGAAATTCGAAGACACCTCCATAATCCTCGCGCTGTCGTGCACCTAGCGGCATTCACCATCTACGGAATGGTCCCACCGGCGGTTTGGACGTCGTCCCTCCCAGATGCGGCTCCACGCTCACTGCCTTCCCCAGCCGAAAACTCATCTGCATGAGCCCCTCTCCATTCCATTTCTCCCACCACTATACCCGACGCATACCTTCTTCTACCGCCCCTCGCCAAAAACATGCCTCGTCGTGGGCCTCCGAAGCGGAGACTGCGAAATTAGAGATGCTGGCTTTGTCAAAGCACTCGGCCGTGCTCACGCTCCATGCCACGTTACCCTCGCTTGGCACAGAGCACTCAGTTGCCGCAATGCTCTGCGTTGGTGGGTCGTCCAAGCTTTCCCTACTCATATACCAACATGTATTGAAGATCGGGGCCTCGTCCAGATAGTCCTTCTTGCGGAATGTAAGGTACAACGTCGTCTGTATCGCAAAGATCTCTAGCTCGAATTCGAGACAATTCTGGAGATGGTGGACGTCGTTGGGTGCACGGTGGAGAGAGGAGTCTGAAGGTGTCCTCAAATTTCGGAGGATTGCCATGAATCGCCATAAAATTGAAGAAGAAGACTGGATTTTGACAGGATTTTTTAGATCTAAAAATTTTGACTAAGAGCAATTAACAACCTTACCGATGGAATTTTTTCCAGACAATTTAGGAGGTGAATGAGGACGAAAAGACCTTCAGGATGATGGTAGATGGTCAGCCGACGACGGCGGACGTCGTCAGCGAGCGGCGGAGGCGACAATTCATGCATTTAAATATATTTTTTTTTTATATAATATGTATGTTCTTAAAATTAATTAATATGTTGATTAATTTTGGTAGGAATATATCTCTTGATTGCCTTAGGATTGTTAAGGGAAGATCCTCTCTCCTTCTCCCTATTTTCCCCCCACAGCTTTTCCCTCTCCAAGCAATAGCAAATTCTAAAAATTCTCTCATTCTTTCCCCCTCCCAAACTCTTGAAGATTTAGAGAAAATTTCCCTAAAAAATATCTCTTGGTCCCTTGTTTCCTCTCGCGCGCACGACCAGTCGTCGGTGATGCCCCAGCACGCACACGAGAAGGCCTTAGCGTATCGCATCACCGACCGCCTGCCATCTTGACGAGCATCTGCCCATCCTCAGTCCACACGCGCAACCCTTATGACTAGATATCCACCAAGCCACGCATTCCAGTATCGCCGGCGAACCCTCGCCCTGTCCGGTCGCGAGCCCTCATCGAGACTGCGCGTCCATGCAGTTTGAATCCCATGAAAACCCGATCCAGCCATCCCTGCTTGTAGATTCTTTGAAGGTGGTAATTTAGTTGGATCCCTCTTGTGTTATATTGTTCTTGATGAGTCTTTTTAGATCTAATATGTTTGAGTTTAGATCTAAGTTTCAAAATTGGAGATCTTTTATTTTGGATTAAAACTCGTTGAATTTTGTGTGTTCTTGTGGAATCTTGTGGAGGTCTGGAACTCATTTGATACCTTAAACTAATATATGAATGCCTTGAATGATGCTTTGATTATTTGGATATTTATGAGATCACTTGAAGCCCTTTTTGGTGCCTTATAATCAAAATTTTTTCTAAAATGCTCGAGTTGTGCCTTATATTAAAAACTTTTTGGTCCCTTTTTGAGTGTCGATGTACCTGTTAAAATTTCGTTACATTGGCTAGAGCTGAACTCCGAAATCCCCGGTGAAGAAGTGCAGCCGCTGGTAAGCTAGCCACAGCCGATATTGTTAGCGGGCGTCCAACACGCGGGCAAGGGACGCCACAAACGAGCGCAGTAGTGGCGCACGCGCGTTGCGAAAGCCCGCAGTTAGGTGCTGAGACCCGTAGCAGTCGTCGCCCCAACGTCGCCCGCATGACCCCCGCGTCACCCGCAGCCATGTCGTGGCCTCAGCAGAAGCCGCAGATGCCTTCAGCCGTCCTAGTGCGCGCCCCTCTGCCCAGCAGCGTACCGACCCGCACTCAAATATGCTGTCAGCGTCTCCAAGTGCCACACTTCAACTCCCGTGAGCCCAACTGCGCTCCCAGACAACCTTCAGCATCGCCAGACGCGCCCCAGAAGCTCCAAGTAGCTCCCAGACGCCCCAACAGCACCCAGACGTGCCCCAACCATCGCCAACGCGAGTCCCAGCACGCCCAGCCGCCCTGCCTGCTCCCGTGCCAGTCCACAAACCGTTTAGCTATTTTTGGATCCGAAACCTCGTTTTTCCTGTTGAAACCATTCTTAGCCTTTTAAATTATTTTTCAAGTTTTTCTTTAATCCGAGAGTTCCAAATTCCACAAAATTCCATGAACTACTTATCAATAATTTTCAAATTCCACAAAATTCCATGAACTACTTATCAATAATTTTTTACTAAGTATGAATTTTCGTTGAAATTCCTAGTTATCGAGATAATTATTCTGAGATATTATCTTGATTAATTGTATTTGTTTGCAGAGCCGAGCCCTCGACCTACCTTTCTGCTGTTCATTTTGCGTTTGCCTTTCTTGCTGATCAGGTGAGTGTTGATAAACCTTACCATGTGGTTATTCTTTATAATTACTTGGCTTGATAATCAATTTATGCATGTGAACCACTAGTCTATGCGTGTCTCACCCGCCGATGGGTTATGCCGGTGGCATCCTATTGTTGTGCCTTTGTTTGTTTCTCCCACTAATGTGTTATGCCAGTGGTTAGTTCATGTCGAGGGGTTATGCCGACAAGGGTTGTGTGTACACATGAGGTTAGGGCCGTATAAGAGGTAGACTAGGTAATTTGTGTTCATGGTATGATTATGATTTCAGTCATTATATTGAATAGATTGCATGGTATTCCCCTGGTTTCCCCTTTTCAGTTTGAGCTGGTGGCCGTGGCAAAAGACGGGCGAGTGAGGTAATTATAGTTGCTATTATGAACTTTCATCTACTTCTGCTTATTGTTATCATGTTTATCATGTTGAACTGTTTATGAACTTGAATTGTTTTGCATGAGTTGAGACTGGGTTTTGATTTGGTATTGAACTGATTATTATGATATTGTTTCGAGACTTATTGATGAGCATGCAATATTATTATATCTTGATTTGAGTATATGATTATGTGTTTCTCTGGGATGGTTTATTCCCAAGGTTTAAGTTGATACTTAAGCATATGAATTGAATTTTGGTTGACTAATACCCGTTAATCGATTTGAAATTGAAAAATGATTTTCGAAAAATTTACTCTGATAATTGAGAAATTCGATATTTCTCCTTTTAAAATAATGGGGCGTTACAAAATTCGTAAAATCCTAGATCAGATATAATAAATAAATTATAATATGACTTCTTATATTAGATATAATAATTAAATTATATGTAATTATTATTAACATTCGAATATTCAATAATTTCGATTCGAATATGTGCATATTAAGATTCAGATTCGAATAAATTTTGGATACAAAATACTATTCTTATTCGAATTCAGATTTTACCAATACGAATAACGAATCAAATTTATCTAGACGTAGTTGTCTACTTGGCAATGAGGATGCCACATAACGCCATATAAATAACACGTAGGAAATTAAGAAAATGTTAAAAGACACATATCACCTTATCCATCCACGTCAACATTGTATCCAGCTGTGGTCATGGCCAAATGGCGGGCCGAGTTAGCTCGGTGGGTAACAAGGCTTGAAAACACCGGTTCCGGGCCTGTTCATCGAACTGGCGTTTTGGGGTCGGTTCACCCTGATTCCAGGCCGATTTGGGTTGTTCAACAGGTTTTGGGTTCGTTCTGGGCGAGGCGGTTTATATTTATAAAATTGAGGAGGGGCAAGGGGGTGGGGAGGGGTTTAAAGAAATTGGACTTGGGATTAATTGTCATATTATAAGTTAAAATATCAAGTTAGTTGAATAATTTTTTGGTTTACAAAATGATATTTTAAATTGTAATATGTCAACTAAGTTGTGTACGTATCATTTACCTTGAGAATCAAAGTCCTCGTAGGTATCTTACTATACTAACCATGATAAAAGTAGATGGAAGGATTGAACCGACTGTCTAGTCCTTATAGTCACATGTGTCGTACTCCTCTTCATTTCTAGCAGTTCCACTAGTACTAGCAGTAATATCGAATGCCTCATCTTCTTCATCATCTTCGATAGTTATCGTGGCCTTTGTGCCCTCATTTCGGCCTTCTTCTAGTCACTCAGCACAATTTGAGTCTCCATGTTTTGTAACATCAACCTAGACTGTCATGCGTCCAATGTATATCCTCCCTCGCTGAATGCTTGTTCAACCGCTAGAGCTGTAAACGAGCTGAGCTGAGCTCGAGCTTAAGGTGCTTGAGCTCGAGTGCTCGAGCTCTTAACGAGTTGAGCTGAGCCGAGCTCGGCTCGTTAATAAAGGAGCCAAAATTTGGTCTCGAGCTCGGCTCGTTAAGGCCTCGAGCTCGAGCCTTAACGAGTCGATCTCGAGCTTTAACAAGCCGAATATAAAAATTATATACAAATCCTATTTTTGAGCCTTAACGAGCCTTATAGAGCTGAGCCATACGTGACTCGTTAACCAATCGAGCTTTAAATGAGCTCGAGTTTTAATAGCACTATCAACCGCCATTGTTGAGGTCGGAGCAACGAAAATCTACTTGGCTATCAAGCATTGAATTGGTAAAATGGTAGAGACGTCTTTGACCACCAATCAAAGACGTTGAATTTTGTGGCTGAACTTGTTTTCGAGCAATTGTAAATATCAAATTTTCCGTGTGGTACTGATCGCACTCACTTTATATAGTCTCTTTTGCCCTTTGGATCTTAGCATTTATACAAATATTAAAGTCATCTCACCAGTCACCAATGATTTGGGCTTACTCCGTCGTCTGTCCCCATTGTCCATAACCATAAGAAGAAGACTCGAAAGCAGTTGAAGAAAATGATGTCGGATTTTCCCCGAGTCTGATTGTTGTTTCCCTAAACAATTCATACAATAAATTTTTTGCTTGCTCGACGAGCTGCCATGGGTTAGGTCTTTCACTGATAGTTTGGACATCCGTGGAAAGTAAGAGTCGATACATTGTATCATAAAATCTGTTAAGATGGTTGAGCAAGCCATTTTCACGCAATGACAGATCTAAGGAAATGAAAATCTAATATTTTAACCATTTACTTAACATTTCTCTTACAAGTTCACCATGTTTTTCAGGATCACTAATAAAAATATCGCTAAAACCCCATATTACGAGTACACATTGACTTACACTAAGTTCAGCAGCAGGATAGTAAACACCAAAAAGTACATTAGTAGCATTTTGAAATGTTTCTAAAAATTTCAAAAGTGTTTGAAATTTTAACCAATCATGGACAAAAACGGTGACCACAATCAACCTTACGTTGACCCATATTAAAAAATTCATCTAATTGAGCACAATATGCAAACATTTTATTTAACATTCTAAAAGTTGAGTTCCAATTGGTAGGAACGTCCGGTTAAAATTTTTTAGCTGGAAGACCTTGTTCTCTACAATATTATATCCACTTTTTTATTTCCTTCGGCCAACAATGTAAATAAGTAACGACATGCCTAATGGATGTGGCCGTGCTTTCAATGCATGATAACCCGGTTGAATACAAAGATTAAGGACATGACACATACACCAAATATGAAAAAATTTTCCCACACAAAGGGGACGGCAAATTTCCTTAAGCTCGGGTATGGATGCAGTATTGGCATTACCATTATCAAAAGAAATGAAAAAAATATTTCTTACCAATTCTATAACTATTCAAGACATGTGAAATTAAACGAACAATATTAGAAGCAGTGTGAGCATTAGAAATCCTATATCAGCAATTAACCATTTTTGTAATGTAAAACTATTATGTACCCAATGACAAGTAATTCCCATATTAAAATTATCTTGTCACAGGTCGGACTAAATGTCACTGCAAGTAGATATTCTTTGGTTTAATGCTTCCAAAGTTTACGCCAAAAATAATTTTTTCTCACTCAACTTTTCGAATATCACGAGTGAGAGTACTACATGGAACCCAATACGCAGCCGGGTTTCAAACAATTTTAGCAAAATTTTCATATAAATCAGAATCATAAATGTAACACCCCGCTTATGAGAGTAAATTTTTCGCAACTTATATTTTGAAAATACTTATTAGTCACGTTAACTTAACTTGGGATGCTACTACAAACTTATATTTTCTAAAAAAAATCCGTTTATCTTTAACTTTGTCTAACTTACTGGTTTAGACATAAAGAAAACAGATTTATTTAAACTTGCATTTAAACTGAACC